AGAGATGCCTTCCTCTCTGCAGGAGACCCGCAGCGAGTCCTACGGGGACCCACAGACCCTGTGCCGAGCCTGGGGGCATTTTTGCCACCCCCCCAAAGACGGAAACCCTACCCTTGGTCAAAAAGCCTCATTTTCATTCCTTGACCGTTTCAGAACGAGTTGTTTTGGGCCTGAGGACCTTGAAGGAGATTCCTTAAAGCCCCCCACCCAGGCAATACCAGGCTCTGGTGTCTTTCGGAGTTGTCGTTGTGCTACGAAGTCCTTTCCCCAGGGTCTGGGCGAATAAGCCCGGTTCGGTTGACCCCCTTGACATCTTCCGGATGCTGTGACTGTCGCCTCCATTCATTGGAGAACCTGCCTCTCTCCCTGATGGGTGAAGAATGCAGACCACCTATTGTCTGTCCCTGTGTGTATGTCAGGCGAGTGTGTCTCTGATGGAGTAGAAAACACATCGATCAGCGGGCTTAAAACTGTGAAACAAAAATAAACTTCATTTTCAGTTTTAGAGAAAGGAATCCCAATCACATACTATTTTGTGTTTCTCATTTTACCCTTTGCTTCCTCGGTGTTGGGGTTATGGCTAATGCAGGCTGTACAAAAAAATTATTTGCCTGCTCGCCTAGGGTGAGTCCAGTTTTCTTCCAGGCGAATCAGAAATTCAACTCACGGGCCGTTGGGGGCGACCTTCCATCTCTGATTCCATGATTTGAAAAGCCCACTCTTGGCTAGCTTTGTTTCTCGTCTTTTCCCTCTCTTTCCCTCTCTTTTCACAAAAGTCTCTTCTGGGGCATATTTTGGGACTCTCTTTATTTTTGAGGAGGACGAGGTCTGTGCTTTGCTGGGTTTCGGGAGAACATTGTTGTTAGGGGATGGTCCCTGCCACCAAGTTGTGTTGCAAAAACACATTTTGTGTTTTGGTGCAGTCATCTGAGGAAGAGCGGAAGAAGCGAAGCCCGTTTAACCTTGGCATTTTATTGTGGGAGTCAAGAAATGCAAGTAATATTTTGCTGATATAACTAAAGAAAAGAAAAAAGAAATGCAAGTAATATGGGGGGGGGAATCTATGCTACTTTTGCTTGCATCTATCTCTTAGCTGGCTTCTCTTCGAAGCGGCTGCATTTCCTGCGTCTCCCTGCAGGCTTGCCAGCGATTCATAGATTTTCTGCTGCAGAGGGGCTCTTGAGGGCGATCCTGCCTGCAGTTTTGGCCCCCTGCCAACTTTTGGGGGTGCCTTCCAAACAACCCTCTCTTTTTTTTGCATGCTAAGAATCTTGCATGCTTTCTCTCTGCAGAGTTTTAGAAGCTGCAGCGAGCACGGTGGCCGCATTGGCCCCGGCGGCCATTTTTCTGCATCCAAGTTTGGCAAAACGGCGTTCCTCCCCGGAGGGAAAAAGAGGACCTTGACTGGGTTGGCCTTTCCCTCCTTTTCCTTCACGAAGGCTTGGAAAATCCACTCACTGGACTGCATCTCCTGGAATTTTGCAGCTTAAGAGTGGGAGTCTGTAACAATCCGGCAAACATCTTCCAAAAATAAGATTGGACATGTCCTTTTTCTTCTCCTTAGGCTCCAGGCCGCTGACACGATTCTCTCTGCTTTATTATCCCGCTAACAGCCCTGCGAGGTAGGGCCAGTGGGTGACTGGTTTGAAATCACCTATTGACTGTTATGACTGAGTCATCGAGGTGAACCCAGGCTTCGGGAATGCCAGTCGCAAACTCTGCTAACAGCCCTTTCGTGGGAATGCCAGTCGCAAACTCCTCCTTCATGGATTGCTGCCTTTGTCGTGGCGAAGGGGCTTGAGTAACTGCAATGAAGCAACCCATTTTACTCTAGGGGAATTCTCAGAGAGGGACCCATGGGAAAAATTCCAGCACTCGTGAACGAAAAGCGCCTGGTTATCTACATTGTCTGTGCTTAAAGAGCCAGAGTCTAATTGCAGCTTGGAGCGGCCTGTCGGGCGGCTAATCCCAGCCCAGTGCTGATGGGCAGAGCAGGAAGGAGAGTTTACAGCCTTTATTTCTTTGTTTTATTTATTTAACTTATACCCCACTCTACCCAAAAGTCTCTGGGCGGCTTGCAACAATTATGCCTCGTGACTCCCTCTTCTTTCTGCTGGTTCCTGTGTCCAAAAACTGTGCCGTTCAATACACACACCCCTTTTTTTTTTAAAAAAGAAAAGTTCACACAACTTTACCCCATTGGGGAGTAAGTGTGGGGTACGAAGCCTCGGGTGCAAACAAGGATACAGCGGAGGTGGCCTAGATTAAAAACGGTCCGTTTCCAAAGGGCCCCTAAAACTTGTATCATTTTTTGTTGGTACAATGGTACGTAGGTCTTGTTAAGCCAGAATTTGTGTGTGTTTCTTGGAAGGACAGAAAGCCGCTTATAGAGAGGCCGCGGTGTGGAAGTGTGTCGGAAAAAATCTGCAGTTCATAAAAGGTTTCAGAATGCCAAAGCAACCACGCCGGCAGAGGAGGGAGCCTGCTGCTTCTCTGCATGATTTGGAGTCTGTTCCCTCCAGTCTGATTGCGGTAGTTGGGTGTGGAGAAAAAAATTCTGTGCAGGGTACACGTCAATTTTTTGCTGTGCAGGGCAGATGCTTTCAGAGGAGGTGTCTGTTTGTCTCTGTAAGATGCTGTGTTCTGTGAGAAGCCTGGGTGATGCAATGGTGGCAAAGTTTAGGAAAATAAATTCTGGGTTTTGTGATCACTCCGATAGGATTTCAGGACTCCGGTGTGGTTTGCCCTCGCTTCCTGAAATCCCTCTCTCATTTTTGCATGCCTTTTTTTGCACAGCTTTTAAGAGGGGTCCAAACAGGAAGGGGAAAGGGAGGCCATCCAAAACGCATCCCCCAAAATCTGCAGCGGATGGGAGCCCTCCCGTCCTCCTCTTTCCGTGCACGGGGGGGGGCGGTCGTGGCTTTGAGATCTCTCTGCCCCGCGGCTCGCAGGGGACCCAGCTAGCCCCGTTTGTTCAAACTAGGTCATCGCCAGCGAGGTGGAAAACAAAAGCGATAGTTTTTTAAGGCCTGGGAGTAAAGCTGGGAGGGGAGGGCTGACCGAGCAATATAGACACTGAAAAAAACCTCAAACACTCCTGCAGAGCGGGGTGGGGGTGGGGGTGGGGGAAAGGCACCCAAAAGAAGCCAAATTATTCCAGAGACAAGCAAATCTTGGGCAAATCACTGCAAGCGGAGCGGATCCTCTGACTGTATTTCTCTCTGCATGGTTCTTTGGCTTCTAACATTCCTTTGTGTGTGATTTTTGTTAGGGTGAAAAAAAAAGCAAAGTTAGGGTTTAACTGCCTCTGCCTAGCAGTTCTCCCCACCAGAGATGATTTGACAGTCTCCCCTCTCTCAACAGCCTTTAAATATATCCATGAGAACTAGAAACTTGATTTGTACATGCGGGTTTTTGAACGGAGAATTTAGCTTTTCTGGAAAGCTGACCCTCGGGCCCACTTTTGCACCCAAGGGTGTGCGTAAGGAGGTCAACCTTTTAAAATTCAGGCCTCCACCTTCCGATTGTTGCTTCTGGAAAAAAATAATTCTTTGCAAAGCCTGGGAAAGTTAGGGTTGTTGTTTTTTTTGGCGACTGCGGCCTCCAGGCAGCAGAAGATTGTGGAGCGATCGTTCAACAAAATACTGGCTCGGGTTCTGCCTCTTTTACCTGCGACCTCCTGCCTTCCCATAAATCCACCTGATTTTCAGCTTTGGTTGGTTTTAAAAACCGTGAGAACGATCAAACTGGGGGACCGACAGAGCGAAATCCAGGCTTAAAAAGAATAAAAATAAAAAGAAGGTGGATATGAGTAATCGGGGGTGGGATTGGAGGGCTCGCTTGGGCCAAGGGTGCAGCAGGCGAGGAAACCAGTTGCTTGGCGACCCCCGTCCGTCCCCATGGGGGGAGTTTGGACAAAAACTGCTTTGTGTGCGAGACAGAGCAAGGAAGAACGAACCCATCCAGGCCTGAAATGGTGGCCGGTGGTCATTTTTTTCCTGCGCTTCTTTTCAGCCTGCTGCTTTGGCAGGTTGACTGGACGCCTCGTTGCCTCGAAGGGAAGCATTCGGGATATTGCTCTTGCCCCGCGGGGTGAAGAGACCGAATCCCATTCTCTTTCGCTTGAGGAGCCCTGAAGGAAGGTGGCTGGCCTGTTTCTGCCCCCTTTGCCTGTACCTCAAGGAATCGAGAAGCGATGTTTCTAGAGAGATGAATGTTAACCGTTGCTTGGATTAGAAGCACAGGAGCCTTTTAAAAAAAAATGTTGGCAAGCCCATGCATGAGTTTTGCTATCCCAATAACTGGCCGGTAAACAGCAGCTCTCTCCTTGCTAAATCGGCATGGTTGATAAACACAAGTGGGTTATATAGGATATAATCTGACAACTGCAGAGCTGGAAAAGACCCATATTTGAGTCCAGCCCCCCAATTGGCTTCTTTCGCCACCCATCCCTCCCTCCCTCCTTCCATTTCATGTGACATTTTTCTTGCTAATGGCATCGGTCAAAACTGATGGTTAGAAAAGTCAAGGACAGATTAAAGGGGAAGAAACGCTCCTTCATGCAGCGTATAATTGGCCTGTGGGACTCACCGCCACCAGACGTTAGACTCATTGGCTTCCCCAACCGATTGAATAAATTCATGGAGGGTGAGATCTATCAGTGGTTATTATCACAACTTCTGAAAGTTTATTTTTGAAAGCCACTACTCTGGGGGAACCCTGGAGTGACGAGGTCCCCGATGAACCTCCATGCCCCAAAGCAAGTCCCTGGATTTCGGAGCAGCCGTGAGAAAGAGCCTCTTGCTTTCCAGCCGAGGTTGTGAAAACGGAGGGCCCTCCTGATGCATCTTGTGGCTTGTTCCAAGCGGGATGGTAAATGATGTTGGATGCAAGTCAAGGTGAGTTCCCTTGCAATGAAGAAGCCAATTTGAAATTTCAGAAGCTGCATTTTTCCGCTTTTGAACCCTTGAGTCTTTTCCTTAATTCTGTGGCTTCCTCAGATATGGGGCTCCTGGCGTGGAGTTTACCGGTCTCCACAAGGAAACGGCGACCGTCACCCAGATGCATTTCCTACCTGGACAGGTAAACCGTTTGGACTTGAGGCTTGCTGAAGTTCCATCTTTGAGTGGCAGCGAAGCCCCTTTCCTGCTTGTTTGGCCCGCTCTTTTCAAATTCCCTCCCGATCTTTCTACCAATAATCTTGGAAATAACAACGGTGACCGTAGCAACGTCCCTCATAACACGCGTCCTCCTCGCCACCGGTGCAAATATTGTTTTCATTTCAGCACCAGATTTAAATCTGGCTGTTCACCCCAAGCTTTTGCTCATTGGGAAGATCACGGCTGGGTCACATTTTTTGAAACGTTATTGTTTTTAAACTATTTAAATCATGGGGAATTCTTTTAACCTGCTTTTCTTGAATGGCACTTGGCCATGACACGTTTTGATATCACGCAGGTTTGAAATGCGTCAGTAAATAAATAAGGAAAACAATAAATTGGTGGAATGTTACTTTTTAAAAAGAAACGAGGTGGGGTTACGTTGTTACTTTCTACCCTCTAAATAGAAAGTAAAAGTTATTATTTAAACATTATGATGATTGCATGATCAACAATGTGGGCTCCTTGCTGGAAAAATGTTACTCTGGAGAGTTTGTGGTCAGGCCATTTTTAATGGTATTTTGTGAGGCAAAAGTGGACCAGACAGAGCCACGGCTGAGCCATTTTGGCCCTGGGGGTAGAAGCATCATCTCCCACCCTCTCCACAGTGAGCTGTGGGTCTTGCCACAAATAAAGAAGAGGATGTTGTCTGTTTGACCCTGGAAAAGGAGGAGAAACAGTTTAGGCCACATTTACCGCACCTTGTTTTTTTCTTTGCAAAGTCTGCTCGGAAGTCATTTTAGTCTTGCGGTGTTTTGAGAAGGCTGGCTCTTTCAGTATCCGTTTTTGGAGGGGGTCGCTCTCTCTCTTGCTGTTTGCATATTTCAGACAGTAGAAGAAGGTGCGGGATGGTGTGTCGAATGCTGACCGGGGAGGGGGGCAGTCACAGTCACGCTGGTCTTGGGTGTGTGTGTGTGTGTGTACCTGGAGAAATTGTCCGAGAGGTTGGGAGTGCATGGCAAGGTGACTCGCTCTCCTCTCGCAGGGCCGGCTGCTCTCCCTTCTGGACGACAACACCCTCCACCTGTGGGAGATCAACCAGAAAGACGGCTACTCTCACCTGGAGGAGACGCGGAGCTTCGTCCTTCCCGGACGTCCAGGGTTCGACAATGCTAAGTACTCATTGCCTGCCTGCCTGCCTCGCTTCCCCCCTCCCCTCTTTCGTGCTTCTCTCGTGGCGGGTGCGTGGCCATCTTATCCCAATGTGTCTGCTTGCCCTCCCTGGCCACGGCCTGCTTCCTTGCTTCCTGGGCTCCGCATTGCAGAAAAAGGGTGGATTTGCCATGTTCTGGGAGATCTCGAGTAAAAGCATGCCCTGGGGACACTGTGGGTTCGATTGGTCCCTTCCGTTCCGAGCTGGCCAAGGAATCTGGGATCGGGAAGTGCCAACGGGGTTTTGCACTGCAGGCATCCGAGAGTGTTGGGGCTTCGTGGCTGCTTTTCCAGGTAGATTTGGGAACCGCCATCTTTTTCTACACTTGCAAGTCTTGAGTGTCGGCTGCTTCTTGTGTCTGCAGCTCTCCTCCCAGCATTACCCGGGTGACGGTCATCTTGCTCCAGCCGACATGTGACGCGGCTTGTCTCGGGACCGAAGGCGGGGGCGTCTACCTGCTGGAACTTCCTGGCTTGGCGTTGCTGGAGGACCGGACCCTGTACCAAGATGAGGTCATGCAAAGGTCAGCGGCCTTGAATTATTTCCTCAAAGCCAACTTAGAAGAACTTGCACCTCTAAGAAATCTCTGAGGCTGAATTGGCCTCTAAAACATAGGGTAGGTCCATCCACTGCAACACGCGTCTTCTTTTATTACGGAGAGCAAAAAGGATTTTTCAAAAAACTGAAAACACTAAAGCCCAGGCTGACCTTCCTTCCGGTCCTGTCCAGTTTTGCCAGGAGGGGCTGCTGTGGCCTTTAATGGGGCTGTGGCCCATAGTAAAGACCCCCAGAGCCTCCAAAGTCACTTAATCCTGAGGTATGTGAAGGATGGATTGTCAGAACCAGCTAAATTCGGGTGCTGGGAGTCGTAGCTTGTTAAAGCTCAGAGCAGGATAGCTTTGGGGGCCGAATGTCCCGCCTGTTGACGGCCATGAGAATCAGGTCAGGAGGCTGAGACCTCGCTCTTCTGGTGCCTGCAGCGTGCCCGAGGACTACCGATGTGGGAAGGCTCTTGGCCCGGTGGAGGCTCTCCAGGAACACCCTCGGGACCCCTCCAAAATCTTGATCGGTTACAGCCGCGGCCTGATGGTTCTGTGGGACAGAAACACCAGAGATGTGGAGCACCTTTTCTTGGCCAACCAGGTAACACAGCGGCTACCGAGAGCGGGAGGGCCGGGGGGGGGGAAACGGCCACGGGTCACATTCAAGGTGTGCTTGTACGATGCTTTCTCTTTGACGGAGGCTCACCCCAAACGCTTCCTGCACGGCTTCGAAACAACGCTAAAGGCTCACGTCCTTCTGCGTTTTAAGGTAGCGAGGCACGAAAAGTCTCTCTCTTTTTGGTTTAAGAAGAGAAAACTATGGGCTAAATCGGGAGCGGAGTCAATGGTGGTGATGAAGGCTAGGTTTCAATTTTTTTTCCAGCAACTGGAAAGCTTCGCTTGGGAGCGCAGCGGCCGAACGATTGTCAGCTCGCACAGCGATGGGGGCTACGCGGTGTGGTCGGTGACAAGTGGCTCCCCAAAAACCGTACAGCCGGCCACCTCCACGATCCCTTACGGTGAGACCTGGACCCTTGAGGGCTAGAGACTTGACTCTTGGTTTGCCTTGCTCTGCTTTATAAGTGCAGGTCCTCTTTATGCAAAGGAAAACTCTCTTTGAGATGAGGTGGGAGATGCCGCCTGTATTGGAACTGTAGCCTAAAAAGGCTGCTTTCTCACCCTGTTTTGGACTTCCGGAATAACCTCTCGGAGCTGGGTCCAGGCCAAATCAAGGGGAAAGATCCTAAAAGGGCCATAATTCAGTCTGAAATGCATTGGACAATTTAACATTGAAATCAAGGGGGATTTATTTTCCTATGTCTTGAGAATGCAGTCACTCTGCCATTTGCTTTGAGATGTTTAAGGAAGTTCTTACCGATCCGGTCAGTTCTAATGTATGGTGACCCTCTGAAGTCGTATCTCAAAGGGGTCCCGTCCTTGGCAGACCTGCACAGGTCTTGCAAACAGGTTTCCTTTAGGGAGACCACCCATCTCTTATTTTGACTTCCTCATTTCCTGCTGCCTTCAGCTTTTGTTAGCCTTACTGTCTTTTCCAGCAAGCTTTTTTCTTCTCCTGATGCACCCAGCGTAGGAGAGCCTCTCTTTCATCGTTCCACCTCCTAGTGAGAATTTAGGCTTGATTTGCTCTGGAACCAACATCTTTTGTCTTTCTGGTCGTCCATGGCTTTAAAAGCCAAACTCATGGTATAAGGGTGGGTTTGTCAAGTTGAGTCCTGGAGGCTCTGTGGAACGAGCCTCGAGCTTTCTGTCTTCTTGAAACTCTGCCTGTTCTTTGTCGTTCTGTCTTGGGTTGAGAAAATAAGCCAGGAAAATGGGCATAATTCAATGCGTGCATCTCTTAAATGGACTGGAGACGCCACGATCTAATCCCACCTGTTTCCTTCTAGGCCCGTTTCCATGTAAAGCTATCAACAAGATTGTATGGCAGACGTGTGAATCAGGGTATGTGATTAAATGACTCTCTCTCTCTCACACACACACACACACACACACACACACCACGGTGGTCTGATGATTCTGTATTTTGTGGGAGGGTGAACCCTGAATGTCAAGAACATTTTGAATTTTGTTCTCTGTAGGACCCTATCCTGCTTCTTTGGGCGGTCTTGGTTCAAGGAGAGTCTGCAGGGGCCTCCGGTCTGAGTAGATGTATTAGGGTTCATTACATCTCCCTTGGGTGACTTTAAGTCAGGGGCAGGCAGCCTGTCCTACCTAACAGGGCTGGTTTTTTTTTTTTTTTTTTTTTTTTTTTTTTTTTTTTTTGAGGATAGATTAAGGAGGAAGAAAGCCAGGTTCATACCACTTTGAGTTTGTCAGAGGAGAGGCGGAATAGCAATGTAACGAATGAGTAAATTCTCTGCCGGGAACTATCACCGGATGGGGACATGACCAGAAAACGAGGCTGGATTGTCTTTATGGGAAGAGTGCGTCATACGAGATGGTGCTCTTTCCCACCATGAGACACACCTGGCCTGAACATTTACACCCCCCCCCCAAAAGACTTCTGGTTTCTAGAATCCTGCTTTGGGCTTTGTTTTGAAAGGATTTAGGGAGCCCAGCATCTCATTTTATGGGAAGGAGTGTGTTCCTGCAGACATACAAAAGCAGGGGAGGAGAATGTTTGGGGGAGGTGAGATACAATATAGGCTCTCCCTGTCAAACCCTGTTTTACAGAAAATTTCCTGGAGGCTTTTAGGAGCAGAAAAGGAATCACAGAAGGAACCCCCTTATCTGTGGGAGAAGTATCTGCCGACTCACATACCTGAAATATTTTTTTTTAAATCCTAGAAATAGGAGTTTCTAAAGGTGAAGTGACCAGAATGGGCCACTAGAGGGAACCAGAGACTATGCCATGTATAGCATTAGCAATTAAAATAGGGTTTCCTATTATCTGCGTTTCTCAGCATCCACAGGGCATCCATTTGGTACAGATTCCCTGCAGGTTCTGGGGTCCTACTGTACCTTTCAAAACAACAACAACATTGGTGTAAAGGAGCTCAAATTAATAATAAAGATGATAAGTGAGTGGGAGGGTGAGAAGGCGATTTCCCCCTCACCTTTTTGCTGTTATTTCCTCTCCTGGTAGGAGTCACTACATCATCTTCAGCGGGGGAATGCCGCGGGCGAGTTACGGCGACCGGCACTGCGTCACCATCCTCCAAGGACAGGCGCTGGTCACCCTCGACTTCACTTCTCGCGTGATCGACTTCTTCACGGTGTACGACACCCAGGCAGAGGCAGGTAGGCGCGTTGCCCTTTTGGGGACGGTGTGTTGGTTTCTGGGTCCCTTGGTCCTGGCGTCTTTCCCGAAGGGCACATGCGCGTGTGTATGCTCTTGGTTTCTGCCTCTCCCCAGAATTTGACAACCCCACGGCCTTGGTGGTCCTGGTGGAGGAAGAGCTGGTGGCGATCGACCTGCAGACCCCCGGCTGGCCCACCATCCCGGCGCCGTACCTGGCCCCCCTCCACTCGTCCGCCATCACCTGCTCGTACCACATCTCCAACGTCCCTCTCAAGCTGTGGGAGAGGATCATCGGGGCCGGAGAGCAGCAGAGCCCGCGGCTCTCCTCGGTGGTGAGTCCTCTTGGCTGGGGCACGAGGAAGCAGAAGAGTCAGACGGGGATCTCCAAAGATTGTGGGATCCACTCCCCACCCCCCACCCCTGTGGGTACAGGAGGCGAGCCGCCGGAGTATTCCTCCCCACTCGGCTACGTGGCCCTTGTGGGGAAAAGGCACCCAGTCCTTTCTCAAGGCATGGCTGTGTGTGTGTGTGTGTGTGTGTGGTTTCCTTTCTTGTCCCCCAAATACGGGGCTGTGGCAATCTTGCCCGTTCCATGGGCAGCTGCGCCTCTCGACACCCCCCCCCCGGCCTCCGTTTCCATTCTGTCCCTGTTGTCCTCCTGGGTTCAAGAGCCTTCCCCCCCCCACCATTCCCCCCCCCAACAATCCAGACCCCTTTTAAATGTATTTTATTTGAGCCCTGGATGTCGGTTGCACTCCCCCCCCCTGTAGATCAAAACGCCATGGGTTTACATTTGGGGCGTGCTTGGCTGTGTCTGTTTTCAAAATGTGCATGTTGGGGTTTTTTCCCCCCTGGACATCATTCCCCCCCCCCTCAAAAATCATGTCTTCACAGAACTGGCCCATCAACGGAGGGAGAAGCCTTGCCCGGGAACCCACTCAGAGGGGCCTCCTCTTGACCGGGTAAGTTCTCAGGGCGGTGTTGGTTCTGCTCTTTCTCATGCCATGAATGCCAGTTGTGTGTGTGTGTGTGTTTGTGTGTGTGTGTTTGTGTGTGTGTATGACACACACAGAGAGAGAGAGAGTCCATGCAAATCAATATACGCTTTGGCGTTGCTCTGGCTTGTGGTGGAAGGTTGCAGAGAGGGTGGGGCAGGCGCCGTGAAGCAGAGGAAGAGATCTGGCCCTCCCTCTGTGTGTTTTTGGACTACAGGTCCCATCAGCTATAGGTGGGGGGTAATGGGGATTGTAGTCTCAAGAGTTGGAGGACCACATGCTTTTCAGACAATTTTTAATATATAAACGAGGCTAGGATCTAGAAGCCCCCTCCTCAGGGGGGAAAAAGCAAATGGAGGACAGGAGAATTTCAGCACATTGTGGAAAAAATAGAGGCATATTTTTCTCTCTTCTCTCTGGAGCAACAGCGTGAGATAGTTGTTTTGGAGGGTTGGATTAGGACTCCAGAGATCTGGGTTCGATTCCCTGCTGGGCTACAGAACCTACTAGAGCCCTTGAGCCTGTCACACTCTTTTCAGGCGGCCCTACCTCTCCGGGTTGTTGTGAGGACAGAGCGGGAAGGGGGAGAATCCTGAGCTCATTGAAAGCAATGTGGGCTAGGAATACGACTCATCCAGAAATCGCAGCGTAACTCGAAACAGGGCGAGGGGGGTGCCTTCGCATGAAACCAGCAGGCAGAGGGTTTGGGGAACCCCTCGCTTTTTTTCACAACCTACGGAACTCATGGCTACCAGATACAAAGAGGCCATAAGCTGAAAGTGCTTTTAAAAAAGAGGTCTAACCGATTCATGGAAGAAGGAAGGGGTGGGACAGATCTGTGGCGATTTGAGTCATAACAACAAAATGGAGCCTCCAAAGGAAGTAGCAGTGTACCTTCCGGACCCTGGAGGCTTGAGACCCAAGAGTGGCAGAGAGCCGTCGTTTCTGTGCTCCATTTGCCAGGTCCTCATAATGTCTGGATGCTTTCTTGTTCCTGGTGGGTCTTTTCGAGGACAACTTCCATCATCTCCAGCCATGATCCTCCCACCTCTTGGGTGGGCTCCCGCTTGAAGGAAGCAGGTGGCCTGAGACCCTAGAGGATCGTCTTCCGAGACGGGTGGGCCGAGACCCCCTCCTTGTTTTGGCTGGATGCAGGCCTTCGGCTTTATTTCATTTGGCTTCCGGGCAAGAATGCATCAACAGCTGGGTGGATGTTTTGGGGTGGTTTTTTCCGCAATTTCTCTCTGTTTCCACCCTCCTGCTTTTGACGGCCTTCCTTTCATCGCTGGCAGCGGGTCGGCCTCTGGCAGCCGAGGGCCCGGCTTCTTTCAGCCGACGCTGCAGAGCAGCCAGCTGGGGCAGGAGAGGAAGGAGCATCTCGGCCAGCCTCTGGTCCCCGGCCATCCTTTGGAGGCCTCATCCTGAACGAAGCACCCAGTTTGTGTCTCGTGCCATCTGCGAAGGATCCGATCGCCTTGCCATCATGACGCTGTTTCCTTGGCTGGCTTCACCAGGGATATGGAGATCATCCACAGTAGCCTACCTGGCAAGGTGGTTGTTCCTAAGGATGGCCAAAGACTGAGATGCAACACATTTAAAATACAGTAGAACCCCCTTATCCACGGGATCAGTCTCTCTTGATTCATTTATCCACGGTCTGAAAAATATTAAAAGAAAAACCCTATAAACGGATATTTCTAAAGATGAAGTGACCAGAACTGGCCACAAGGGGGAGCCAGAGACCATGCTCTGTGTTGTGTTTGCTATAATCCGCAGGCTTCAGCATCTGCATGGGGGGGGCTTGGAAATGATCTCCCATGGATCCAGGGGGGTCCTGCTGTCGTTGAAATATGGCTGCGTTGGAGCTTGAAAACTAGGGGCGGGATTTTTCGGGCCCCAGATCCCAGAATTCAAGAATATCTCTAGGAAGAATTTGGGAAGTGCAGAAAAAAACTAACAAAAAAAATAACCCTCAAGTTTTAAAGCCGCTTTTTCCTCACCTACCTGTGTGCCTCAGTCGCCGTGAGTCTCCTTTGAAGAAAATAAAAAGGGACAGGAGCTGGTCTCTTGTGGGCTGAGTGGGGATTTGAACCCAGATCTCCCGAGTCTCTCACCGGCAACCAACTTATACTGACCTCAAAGAGGTTGCCGTCTTCGTGGGAAACCCCTTGTCAACACCGCCCCCCCCCCCCC